AACCTTGGTACAAGCACTACTTTGTCGCTATCCCTGACAGTCAACAACAAAATTGAAGTATACACACACAAAAAACCCCCCACACAAATATGTATATCATATAATGATTTTTAAAGAAGAAAACTTAAGAACCCCAAACCTACCACCCAGCTCAAGGGTTGGCAAACTACACGAAAAGGTTAAGTGTGTGTACTGCCTGTTTTCGTAAACAAAGTTTTATTGGAACACAGGAACACCCATTATTTTACTATGGCAAACTAAAGGTCAGGCCTGGTAGTTATGACAAAGACAATATGGCCTGCATAGTCATATTTCTTATTTGATCCTTGTCAGAACTTTGTTGACCTCTACACCTAGCTGAAGACAGAAAATGGTACTGTTGATGTATGTCTCTTCCTAACTATACTGTTCTCCCTTTCTGGGAAAAAAACACTACCTAAATTATTTTTTTTTTTTTGGTGTGTGTGTGTTTCTTCTGTAGTTTATCTATATAGTCCTAAACAAATTACCATTTAGTTTTTATAACTTGAACAGTATATGAATGAAATGATACTGAATATTCCTCTGTGGCTGGTTTCTTTTAGTCAGTCAGTCTTCCGTGACAGACACAATCATGTGGATGGTGTAGTTCATCTTTACTAAGATGATATTCCATTGTTGTGACTCTACCACAGTTTATGGGCTCTCTGCTGAAAGTCACAGGGACAATTTCTAGGGTTTATAAAAACAATGCTGCTAAAAAAAAATTCTTGTACATGTATCCCACTACATATGTCCAAAAGAGTGAAACTGCTGAGTGACAGGCACATGCACAATACAACATTTGCCTTTGTCAGACACCTAAGTTTTTGAAAACTTAAGTGTTTCACTCATTGTACATTTAATGTACTTTTCTGTGATTACACATCCTTCCATATAGTTATTTGACTATTGGCATTTTTCCTGTGAAATATCCATTTAAAGCTTTTGCCAATTTTTCTATTAATAAATTCACCCTCTGATTTCTAATTGAAGTGTTTCTTTTACATATTACTGATACTAATCCTCAGGGTTTTTTTTTTTTTTTTTTTTGGGTACCGGGCACTCAACCACTGAGCCACATCCCCAATCCTTTTTGTATTTTATTTAGAGACAGGGTCTCATTGAGTTTTTTAGTGCCTTGCTGATGCTGAGGCTGGCTTTGAACTTGTGATCCTCCTCCCTCAGCCTCCAGAGCCGTTGGGATTACAGGTGTGCGCCACCAAGGCCGGTTCTGATAATTTTAAATATGGTAAATGTCTTGATTTGTGACTTACCTTTACATTCATGGAATGATATGAATAATATCTTTTAATGAATAAAAATTCATAATTTTAATCTTTTCCTTTATACAATGGATCATTCTAAAATAAACCCTCTCCGTTCCAAGATCATAGATGACTATTCACTTATTTTGCCTTGTAAAAGTTTAAAAGACTTTCCTTTAAATTTAAATCTTTAATCTATTTGGAATTTAGTTTTGCTTGAGTAAGAAATTACCTTCTTTTTCTTCCCCATATGGATAGCTAATTATTGAGATGTTCATCTACTCCCCACAGTTTGTCCAATGTTTCTTCCGTTGTTTATAAAGAGCCCTTACACATGTGGTCTGTTTCTGGCCCTCTGTTCTGTTATTTCAAAATCTGTGTATCTCTACCCCACTACCAGCATTTAATTATTACAGCTTTACAAAAAGTTTTGTATCTAGAAAGCACACTTCCACAACCCATCTTTTATTTCAAGTTTGTCTTGGCTTTTCCTTTGCCTTTTCTGTATTAGAATTCTAATTCTGTTAGAATCAGCATGCCAGGTACTATGTAAAAGTCTAATGGAATATTGAATGGAATTATATTCAATCTACAGATCATTTTGGATTGAAATGACATCTTCAGAATATTGAGTTTGCCTATTCATGAACATGGTCATACTTTTTCTTCATCTTTTGGGGACCACATAAGTTTTCCCTTTTAACATGGTAATATGTAATTATGTTAGAATATTTTGTAGTTCCTTCAACCTATATTTCTCAAATCATTGGTTATTATGAATTTTTAAAAACATTTGCCTAATATTTAGTCTAAGATTTTTATACCTACATTAATGAGTGACATTGATTGATAATTATTCTTCTTTAAACTGTCCTCTGTGTGATTGAATGTCAAGAATAACAAGCACAAGAAAAGCTAAGGTGTATTTCCTCTTTGTAGGACACCCATAGCACAAGAGTTAATAACAAGAATCCTCTTTGTTCTGAACTCAAGGAGTCTATGCTTGAGAATTTTCATAGTAAGATACTCAGGAAAATATAAACTACACTTAGCAGGTAAAAAAAAACTAAACTAAACTAAAATAACAAGCACAAGAAAAGCTAAGGTGTGTTTCCTCTTTGTTCTGAACTCAAGGAGTCTATGATTTGAAATTATATATTCCTTAATATGTCTGATAAAACGTACCTATAAAACTATATGGGCTGAGCCAGGTGTGGTGGTATATCCCTGTAATCCCAGTGGCTAAGGAGGATGAAGGCAGGAGGATCAAGAGTTCAAAGCCAGCCTCGCAAAAGCAAGGTGCTAAGCAACTCAGTGAGATCCTCTCTCTAAATAAAATACATAATAGGGCTGGGGATGAGGCTCAGTGGTTGCGTACCCCTGAGTTCAATCCCTGGTACAAACAAACAAATAAAAAACACCTATATCGGCTGAGTGTTTTATCTGGAAAAGTAATTCCAAGCATTGAATTACTTTATATAAAGTAAATGACCTATTAAATTTTTCTATTTCTTTCTGAGTCAATTTTCATAAACTACATTTTCTGTCCATTATGCTTTAGTTTTCAAATACTGGCATAAAGTTGGTAACAGTATTTTCTAAGAATTTTTAAAATCTATGCTGCATCTGTTCTTTGTGTTTGCAATTTATTCTTGTATTTCATTTTAGTTTTGGGAAGGAGCAGAAATAACTTTGTGTGTTTAATCCACTACATTTATGTGAACAAAATTACACAGAGGATCCAATGTTCCTTATCTATAAAATGGAGGTAATAACAGAACTCACCAAAGCTGTCATAGCAAGAATTAAATGAGTTAAAATATGCAAAGTGCTTAGGACAGTGACTGGCACCTATGAAGGGCTCAAAAATAACATGATTAAAATATAGGGAAGTCAGTTCCACTGTGATGATGTCCTGTTTTAGCGTGGCTAAAGTTTCACAATCTAAAGCAGCAATAACTGGTTATGGGCTGGATTCTTTCAAATATACCCTCATTTCATTCAAGCCCTATAAAAAGGTGATGATGTTTCTGGTTGGTATTATTCTCATTCTGAAGCTCAGTCTCCATGTTCATGCCTTGAGATTGTGAACTGCACTTTGCAGAGCAAAATACAAAACAAAGTAGGAGGTTGACTGTGCTATATAAGTTGTTTTTACTCTGAAAACAAAAATCATACTTTTTTCACTTATTAAGTGCTATGAATTGATAGAAAAAAATTGTGAGTCCGTGACAAGCAATCAATAATTAATCAATGAAAATGAAATAATGAAGCTATGATGAAAGCCATAAAGAAACTCGAGTAACCTCACCAAGTTTGCATTATTAGGTGTCTTTTATCCATGGACGAACTTATAACAGGCCCTTCATTAGGCAAATTCCCACTATAAAAAGTTTCTTCTATCTTCTTTAACAGAGGGATGCTACTTAGACCTACTCTCCGTTGATTTTTCTACATAAGTTTTACCTAAAAACAATAATAAACCATCCAAACAGATACTGTTTAGGGGGAAGCACACTGAGGTTTGTAATTTATTTTGAAATGCATTAAAAATTAAGATGAAAAAACAAACAAAAAAAGGAGATCTAGGGGTATAGCTTAACGGAGAGCACTTATCCAGCATCCATGAGTGCCTAGGTCCCATACCTAGCACTGAAAAGGAAGGAAGGAGGGAGATACGATTGATGAATGAAGGACAGGTAGATAAATAAATAGGTTAAAAAAACTATAGTAAACTAATCACTGGTAAAATATAGATGAAATTATACCAATGTTCACTACAAAATGATTTCTACTTTCTATAATGCTTGAGAATTTTCATAGTAAGATACTCAGGAAAATATAAACTACACTTAGCAGGTAAAAAAAAAAAACTAAAATAAAAAGAATGGAAAATATTTCTATTGCACATAGCAAAAGTTATCACAATACGTAAATTTATTAAAAAAAATCAAAATCCCTATAAGATAAATGGGAAAAGATTAACCAAATACACATAGGAAATAAACCCATGGAAAATGCTCAGTTACCTCTAACCAAAACAATTTGAATTAAAGCACTCCTTTATTGGCAAAATTCAACTGCATGCATGTGCGCACGCACACACAGGACACACACATCTCTGGCAAGGCTGTGATAAAAGTGGCACAGCCATACACAGCTGGCTGCATTCACTGTAAACATGCACAGCCTGTTGGGGAAGTCATCCGATAGTCCTCAAGCCATGGTGTTTATCAAGTCCTTTGACTTGGTGGCCTCTCTCTTAGAAAATGAACATATCAGTTAAAAGAAGACAAAGGATGTTTACTGCAGTTTTATCTACCAGAGGATTAATCTATGAACTACCTAAATGACCATGAAAAGAAGAAAAATTTATTAAATTTTGTAAATGATGATGCATCAGCATAATGGAATATGGCATAGACATTTAAAAATGACAATAATGAAAATTTATGTGGAAATATGTATAGTGTTTATAACACAATCAAAAGGAAAATATTTATAATTGTAAGAGTATAATTTTATAATTGTGAGAGTAATTATGAAATTTATTTTGACACTGAAAAGGAACATAAATAATTAATGAAAATGATGTGCTACTGTACAAGGGGACTGGGGCTGATTCCTTCTCCTCAAATGTTCTTTAATCTTGCTGATATATCTTTCAATTAAAATTATATCACTGAAAGGCCCATCTCAATACTGGCTACTCACAGTGCTGAGCTTGCTGCAAATGATGAGTATCCGGCGCTCGTACAGCATACTGGCATACAGATGCAACATGTTGTTTACATCCACAGCCACAAAATATTCTGTCAGATTTCTCTAGGAAAAAGAAGAAAGGTTTGTGGTTTATTTTGTCTGTTCTTATTACAAGTAGTGTTTCTAATAAAAGCATGAGAAACAGAAAATAATCACAAAGCTCATTTCTTCTCCTGTCCTATTCTTTCTACCTGGGAGACCAAATCCCACTCATGTATAAAATCATGAAATGCTAAGTTGGAAGAGACCTTTGAGATGAGCAGTCTGGCAACTGCATCTATGTGTGGTGATTACAGTTAACAACATGGTTGTATATACCTCTGTGTCTGCTCTTCATGTCAGTTCCAGAAGGTGAGCAGGACAGGAATCGTGGAACCTTACAAACGAGGAAACCAAGGCTCAGAGAGATTTGCCGAGATCAAATAGTCTAATAAGCAATGAGGACAGGACTGCTGCTCAGATCTTTGGACCTGAGATCCTAGAACCTTCCTTAGGTACTGTATCATATGTTCAAGGAAAAGAAAGTACCCAGAGATTAAAGTGCTTCTGGCACAGGTCCTGCTTCTGTCCAGCAGGTCCCAGCCATGAAGGCATCACCTTTCCTGTTGCCACTTGCTGGTGTCCCACCCCTCCACAGCTTACATTCTCTATAAAGTGGCTTGGCTAGAATTAAAGAAATTTTCAAGATTTACCATTTCCAGACATTTCACTAAAAAAAAAAAAAAAGGAAAAAATTAAAAACTGAAGACAAACAGCAGCAAGCTGTAACAAAGCAGTGCTTTAACTAGCTTTTTCTGTAACCTGGGCTTCATTCCTTTAATTAGTACTATAGATTGGTAGATTGGTACTCTTCAGATTTCAGAAAAAAAATGGAGTGTGTTTTATTTCTACAACCCTTTCTATACCCACCTGGCTTTAATAATACACATGAATATGCTAATTTCTTACAGATTTTTAATGCAGTACAATATAAGCCTCTGCAAATGAAAGGAACTGAGAAGGAATGCTATTGTCAGGGGTTGCAGTTTATAATGATTAAAGATCTATAACCCATAAATTGAAGTAAATCAGGTAGATTTTACATGCAAAATAGCATAAAGTGCTTTTCAATAATATTATGGTTGGGAATAAGAATCAGCAATTATCTTATGATTTATTATTGTTTGACTGGGGTACCAGGTTAATCATCAACTTCTATAAACAAAAAGCCAGTGAATTAATAGCTCTGGATACTGACTACTTACAAAGTGTCAGGCACTGTATCAGACACTTTGTATATATGATCTTATGCAATCCTCACAAAAAACCAATGAGGTGTTATTCTTTCCTATGCAGAGAAACAGAAATTAAATCTGGGAGATTCAGTAACAGGTGGAGTCAGACTGACTTCACAGCCTCTGCACTCTCCACTAACCTACACATCTCTACTAAATACTTTTCAGTGTCTACTGTGTACAGGGCATGCATTCACTTCATCTTGAAAACACTCCATGAACTAGGTGCTATTGACCCTATTTAAAGATAAGAAAAGAGGCACAGAGAAGTGATATAATTTGATAAAGGTCACACACAAGTGGCTAAGACACGATTCAGTCTTGTGAAAGTCTTTTTTTCAGACACTCCAAATTGTAGGCACAAATTATATTTGGAAAAAGAAGAGGTATAAAAAAGATCAAAATATGACTAAAGAGAGGGAAATTTCTTTGGAAAATTTTTATTATCCTATTTATTGAATAATCCTTATTCCCAGGAGATAGAAAGTTTAGAAAAAAACACAGGAAAATATCTAACAACCCTGAGACAGGCACTACCATGTCCACTTCATGGATGGGAACATTGAAATTCAGGAAGGTTCAGTGGTAGTCTTGTAAAGGTCACTCGGCTAGCAAAGGCAGAGCCAGGTTTCAACACCAGGTCTCCTGAATCCAAAACTCATACTCTAACCAACATGCCAACTTGCCTCTCAACAAACTCAATAAAAACAAAGCAAAACAAATAACAAAGGCTATCTGAACTAGGCCAGAGGTGCCTCCTCTGCCCAGTGGCTGAGGAACACTGAGCTAATAATGTCAGGGTGGGGTTTGTTTGGAAGACTGTGACATGGCAGAGCTCTTCTTGCAAACAAAAATATGAGGCCCTCAGCTGAGCATTTCAGTAAAGGCTTAACTGCTGATGAATTACATGAATTTCTCTTTTAGTAGAGGATGGAAGTAAAAAGAAAATAGAAGTGAGGAGCTTAAAGAAGGCCAGAAAGCCCATTAGCACTTTTGACAGATCCAAAGATAACTCTGAAGCCACCAAAACGTGGCCTCAAGAGTCTGCCAAGAAGCTTCACGCTGGGTAGAAATATGTTACACAGCTTGCCATCCAAATAGGGAGACACAGCGTCAGAGACAAATCCTGTGCCTTATTTTGGTGGGAGAAAGGGAGGGGGGACCACAAGGATACTTTTGCAGATGGGGAAGGGGATGTTTCAGAAATAAAAACATCACTGAGGCAGGTCCCCATGCCCAGTCAGGATCTGAGGGCGCAGGTGCTTATTTCAAAAACTCTGTATAGGTATGTTAAAAATATGTAACATTTAACCAAATTCTCTCTAAACTGTCATGTACTTTTTTTGGTATTTCTCATTCCATCTGTGCTGATTACCAAGATATTTGTGTCTAAACAGAAGCTGTCTTTCTTATCTGCTTCCTCCCCTGCCTCTTTCCTTCTGGGATGCCACCCGCTGGAGCAGGTGGGACTGCCAATGGCCCCAGCTCTAGGAACCTCACTCAGCCAGGGAAGGACCTATGGGGCACAGGGGACCTGGGGCACTTGCAGTTCCCACCAAGCCTGGGCTCTGGAGCAAACCTCTAGGATACAGGGATATCCCTCCCACCGCCCTGCAGCTTCCAATACATTGGGCCCAAGCCTTAGCTTCTCAGACCTGCTCTGCCTTCTCCCAGACTTTAATTCTGCTGTTTCTCCTAGAGTACTCCTCTCTACCTTGAGGATGTCAATTTACTTCACCTGGCTCCAACATCACCTCCTCCTGCAAGGTCTCCTAGATTCCTTATTTGTCAAACATCCTTCATGTTTCCATGACATTTTGTCCCTATCCTATAATAACTTGGTTTTAAGTATGTTTTCCCACTAGACTGAATTCTACCGGGTGTGATGAATCAGGAAGAACAGTAAAGAATGGATCCTCCTAAAGAACCACCACTCCTATCAAACATGGTATCCATTGGCCCCTAGTTCTCGATTTAGTGTCCCAGATCATAACACCATCACAGGTAAGCAGAGTAACTACTCCATTCATTGCCAATCACTTCTCTATGTAATTCACCTGCTAGGAAAGGAAACCCTTGCACAGAGGGCTGTTGCAGTTTCTGTGCTCAGATGGCCTTGGATGCCTTAGTGGCAGTGTGCTTCCAGGCTTCAGGGCATCATGCCTTTCCCATTCATGGAGTCTAAACATTGTTTCCAGTTATGTGTGCAGCATCTGGCTATCCACCTGGCCTTCATTACCCACCCACCCCTTCCTGCCCTGAAGGCTGGTCAGTAGGCACACAAAGCTGATCACTACTTAACTCAAATCCAAGAAGCTGGACAAAGCCTCCTAGAAGGTGGTCTACAGAAAAGGCACATACTACACAAGCTCCTTAGACTCTCAGCTTCTGTTTCTCTTCTCTACAAAGAAATGTTGATGAAGGTCTCTTCCAGGGACTAACTCTCTGTGGCTCTCAATCCAGACAAAGAGGAGGGAACTGGCACCTGGCAAAACCCCAGTCCCCCCAGGAGAGGTCTCATAAAGGCTGCTCCTGTCTAGCTGCCCCTGCTGGCTCCTGCACCAATCCAGGTGGCTGGGGACTCCATGCTCAATGTGATCTGCGCCTGAGGTTATGAAGCAGGTGGGGGTGGGGGTGATGGGGTTTGAAATGGGTTGGGACGGGAGGGGATATAGTGCGGCTTAGAGAGAAAGCGTCTTAGGTTCAATACCTTAGGGAAACGAGATAATCCTCAAACCAAAGAACCGACTCTAAGCTGGGTACTCCTTGGAGTCTTAGAAGCAGATGCTAGTCCGCCCCACTGTCTGTCATTTTATCAGTCTTTGTGACTCTCTACTTCTTCCATGGTATAGAGGATAAAGATTTATTGCACTGGGGCTAGAGGAGGCTTCCTAGGCTAGAGGCTTGGAAGGTCCTAAAATAACCCCTATTCAAATTATTTTACCATAATGGGTTTTTTTTGTTTGTTTTATTTTGTTTTGTTTTTAAAGAGAGAGGGTCTTGCTATGTTGCTCCGGCCAGCTCTGAATTCATAGACTCATATGATCATCTCGCCTCAGATTCCTAAGGAGCTATATAACAGGCACGTGCCACTGCTCCCAGTTTTCACAATATAAAAAGTTTTAAAACCCTCAACTGATTTTTTTTTTTAAAAGAAGAATTAGGTTATCTTACTGGTGTGGGTTTTTTTTTTTTTAAAGAGAATTATAAATTTGGATTACAAAATAATCTTCCTGAGAAAGAATCCCACCAACTCATACAGGCAACAAAATCCAAGAAGTATATTTGAGGAAAGAAAGCAGAGTTACCCAAAGGTCAGCTTTTATCCCTCTGTGTGAATGGAAAAACCATCAGAATAAACAGTCATCTGACAACTCTTAAGTGCAACAATGGACTCCTCTATAATCTCATACTTGATAACAGGTCTTCTACCATCATTCTCAACTGTTTATTTTTTAAAGTCACAATGACTTCATAAATCTTTTCTATATCATGGTTCATCTTTTGACAAAGTGGAGTCTGGGCAATGTCATATGTAACTGTCCATTCTAGACGCTTACCTCGCATCATTAACCACTTGGTATGACATTGACCAGATAATTAAGACAGGTTTGTTTAATATTCCAAATGAAGGCCTACATAATTATCCATTAATCAAAAAGTAAACTTCAAAATCTGGCAGCTAAAAATAATCCCTTATTGAGTTAGTTTACAATGTAATTATTACTACATATTTGTTCATGATCTGTGACTCTTTTTAATGCAGGTCAACTGTTTAAAATTTATAAAGATTTATGCTCATTTAATTATTGACTGCATAAAATTCACTCCTACATGAGTTATCCTGATAGAGAAAACCCTGATGAGCAATTACACAGTGATAGTTTCTCAGCAAAAAGGAAAAAAATATTTTTACAAAGAAATTGTAGAAATAATGAGAATTAACTTCAACAGGATCTGAAAGTGGAAAGAATTAATTTTCCACGTTTGCTTTTCATTAATGTCTTATAGACAAATTGGTCCTAAAGCCAACTATAAGGAACAATTCTTTCTCCCTTTCCAGGGATGGTTGCATTAGTCATTCATTCATTAACTAATTCAT